CCCATTATCCTCCTCACTGCTTCTCTCTCCTCACTACCCTTCACTACCTCTTTATCACTTCTTATTCCTTCTTCTTCCTGACTCTCTTTCTCTCTCTCTCTCTCTCCAATTATTCATTCTATTTCTGTCTATCCTTCACTACCTCATTCCACGTCCTTCATTTTCTCTCCCCATTGTACGTGATATTTTTGTGTAATAATAATAATAATAATAAAACTGACTATAAAATATATGAATAACACGCAATCGTAAGAAGAACGAATGAAAGTGAATTACGCACTCGGTGAAATATATGAATGAGAATAACAAGAACAGGAAAGTAATGAATAACAATGAATAAAACTACATAAAAAAAGGATGAATAACAATGAATAACACGTAAAAGTTATATATATATAAATTTTTTTCATAAGTCAAGTCACCTTCACTCTTGACACAATTTTCAGATATTTAGCAGGTGAAAAAAAAACAAAAATTGCCAGAACAAATTGGTGATAGGACAAACTCCCCCTTCTGTATTAATGCATTTCAGCGAGTTTTTATTTATTTTTTGTAAATTGAAAAAAAAATGGTTTGTGTATAAGCCAGTAGAGGGACATGAAAACAGAGAGAGAGAGAGAGAGAGAGAGAGATAGACAGAGAGATAGACAGAGTTAGAGAGACAGACAGATGCAGATAGACACAGATAGACAGACAGTTACAGACAGATAGACAGATACAGATAGAGACAGATAGACAGATTTATAGAGACAAACAGATAGATATAGACAGAGAAAGAGTTAGAGGGACAGACAGACAGACATACAAATAGAGACAGTTAGAAAGACAAACAGACATATACAGAGACACAGACAGACAGACAGACAGACAGACAGACAGACAGACACTCAGACAGACAGACAGACACTCAGACAGACAGACAGACACTCAGACAGACAGACAGACAGGCAGACAGACAGACACTCAGACAGACAGACATACAGACAGACAGACAGACACAGACAGACACTCAGACAGACAGACAGATGACAGACAGACAGGCAGACAGACAGACACTCAGACAGACAGACATACAGACAGACAGACAGACACTAATAAAGAAAGCAAAGATAAAACACATCAAGCATTATAGAAAAGACTCAATAATAAAACCAATAAAAAAGGGAGATAGAGAATAGAGTGAATAAAGAGGGTGAAGAGAGAAGAGCAACACCAGCAGCTGATGACGAGGGGGAGTCCAGGGAGGAAGGGCGATCGACCCATCATCAGGGAGGGTGAGGGGGTGAGGGAGTAGAGTAGGGAGGGGAGGAGAGGGGAAGTATGAAGGGAGGTGAGGGAGAATAGAGGGGGAAGAGAGAAGGAAGAGAAATGAGGAGAGAATGATGAGTGGGGATAAGGGAGAGAAGGAAGAGACTTGAAGACAGAGTGATAAGAGGAAGTAAGGGAGAGAGGTGAAGGGAAGTGAAGAGAAAGTAGAAAGAGAAGTGAGGAAAAGTAGGGAGAGAGATAAGGAGAGATGAGAGGAGAATACGGATAGAAATAAAGGTAAGAGGAAGCACAGGACCAAAAAATACCCAACTAAATGACTTTTCAAACGCTATTTTTTTTCCCCGAATTTTTGCCAACAGTACATCACGTTACCCATCTGACGCACACTGACACACAACACCACGACGACTGGATGTAATTAAGATCATAATAAACGTGGGAATAGTAGAGAAATGAGAATAAAAATGAGAATAGTTGAGGAGGAATGAACGAGAATTACATATAAGGACATGACATAAGAGTATATAGAGTTACCTGGTGTATTACTGTTGTCCTTTACCTGTGCCAAAAGGTGAGAAATTATTAATGTATATCACCTCTCTCTCTCTCTCTCTCTCTCTCTCTCTCTCTCTCTCTCACGTCCTGTTAGTATAATTTTAGCCAGACATCACTACACAAGGATCTCATATGGCAGTTATGTTAAAGGTCATGCGTTAATTTATTTTAAAAGAATATTAAATTATGTTGCATACAGTATTTCAGTGTTGTGTTTTGTGTTCCAATGTTGTATAATGCCTTGACTTCCATTCTTCCTCCTTTATTCCCTCCTGTTCCCCTTCTCTCTCACCTTCCTTCCATTTTCCCTTTCTTCCTTCGCTTATTTCCCTCTTTCCCTCCTTCCCTCCCTCTTTCCCATCCTCCCGCCTTTTCCCCTCCCCCAACGTACACAGAGAACGTGTAAAAATGAAATAAATCACCAACAATAAACGACAATAAAAACGGGATAAATTTGTATACAATATTTTACTCTAACTTAAAGAAAATCGATGACTGACCCAACATAACGCTAATAGCCAAAAGCGTAACAATGGCCATATTTCTTCGCCACGGATAAAGAGACAGCCAGACCAATACGCAAAGACATTTTCCACTATTAAATAACCAACAGAGATTATTCTTACTTTCTAAAATATCCATAAATATTCACACAAGAGAACAGACTGAGATCTCCTTTATAAGACATAACAAAACAGGGAAGGTCTTTAGAAAACTCAAACAAAATATAGGACATAATTTACAAGCCAAAATAAATAGGGAATGTTCTTAAAATACCTAAAACAATATAGAGAACGTCTTTAACCCCCACACAAGCCAGTTAACCAGACAAGCCTCAAAGCCTTCACCACTAAACACATCTTACCTGATCGTCATGAAGCAGATCGAATATTAACTGTTTTAATGAGACAATAGAAAAGACTTTGGGATCATCTGAAGATTAATCCTTAGCTTATATCACCATAAGATTTAACACCCTAACGCTAACCTAACTTAAAATTACTTAATATTAACCTAATCTAACACAAACCAAACCTAATATAACCTAACCTAACATAACATAACTTTAGCAACAATAACCTGACCTACCACAAGCTCAACCTAACCTAACCAACCTTAAAGCGAACCTAACCTAACCAATATTAACCTAACCTACCATAACCAAATCAAAAACTAACCTAACCAAACATTAATTTAACCAAACACTAACCTAACCTATCATAACCTAACCGACACTAACCTAACCTAACCTAACCTAACCTAACCTAACCTAACCTAACCGACACTAACGTAACCCCTTAAAAAAAAAGTAACATTTGGACATATAATCATCAGGTGAAATATGCTGGAGGAGATCAACTAATTATCATATACTTTGGATCTTTACGTAACAAGGAGCATTACTTTTCACTCATAAGGTAATGGCATCTGGATAGCTAAAACCATCAACGAGTCGAGAACATCTTGAGAATGATATCAGGGGAACAGGTTCTCCTCATACCATTACTTGAGAGGAGCGTCCATCAATCTCTCATCCCAGCAAGCAATATAATGAAGGATTCACCCACAGAGATAGTTGATGTCCGCCGGATGTTGGTGGTAAAAAGTGGAATATTCTTGTTTGTGAGTGACAGGGTTGAGGGAGATAGTGATATTCAGAGATATTAGAGAGATAGAGATAACTTTTTTATAAGAGAAAATGAATTAGACAGAGAGATGGGTAACGGAAAACGTGGTAGTGATTTTGAGAGAGAATAGGAAGAAAAGAATGAGACAGGGTGAAGGGTTATCAGAAAAATGCTAGTTAGAGAGAGAGAGAGAGAGAGAGAGAGAATATGATTAAGGAAATAAATGAGAAAAAATCTAAAGAGTGTGAGAAAGACAGACCAACACACAGAGGCAGGATGAGTGGATTAAGATACAAAATTAAGCACAATAAATAAATATATACATCTACAACAACTATATAAATTCCACACAAAATAATGTATATAAAGTAAGTGATAAAGATACGGAGACGTAATGGATGATTGACGTGTCTATAATAAACATCATGAAATTAACAGATATATACATAAAACATACAGAAATAATGTATGTACGTGTATATATTTGCAGTCTTATATACGCGCATACACAAAAAGTATGCGTCTCGCTTCCACCGTATATATAAATATACTTTATTAATTTAGATAAAGAAAATCGATAACTAGCTGACCTGTTTACGTTTCCAGACACTCATTACCCCATCAGTTACTCGAGAGTTTGACATAAGAAATCACCAATAGCATACATAACAACTGACACATTACACCACACCACATCACATCATACTACATCATACCACATTACACCACATCACACCACACCATATCATCACACTACAGCATACCACACCACACCAAACCACACCACACAAGGAAAGTCGTGTAAAGGTATGCAGCAAGAACGTTATGCTGGAGGTTATGTCGTGACATGGTGTCGTAACTCCAGCTCACTAGACGCTAAACCCCATAATCAAGACCCGTGCCACAGGACAGCCGCTTGATGTTAGGCGCTTTATGCAAATTGGACTCTTACGTTAACTCTAGCATATGGCCTCATTTAGCTCACAAAGTCACTCTCACTACTTATTGAACTTTATCGTCTGTTTTAAAGCTTAGATCGTGATGTGTTTACCTGGATTTTGAGGTTATTGCTATGTTATGGTATTTTTTTTTATTATTGAAATTGTTTTATGTTTATTTTGGGGGATTTTCTTTTTTTGGGTGATTTTGAAACACAGTTAATAGAAAATAAACAAATCTGAAAGAAACATCACACACTTGAACGATAAAGACAAAATACAAGGACGCACTTAGTCTTCTTCAACTAAAGAGACGTTTTCAGTTTCCAGACAGCACCAGATGTTTCTCCATTGATGTAAAACCACCACAGTGTTCCCTCAACCCTTCATAAGAGTAAATAACATACAAGTATAATACCATCATCTCCACTTAAACATAACACACACAAATATATCAAAGATATCGTCCCTCTTTCCAGTTTGCCTGAGTAAGAACTTCCAGAAACCGGCCGGTCTCCTGGGCGCGACCATCTTCCAGGATCCTCTCCTCGCTGTCATCACTCTGCATCATTGATACGATATGATCCCAAACATTGAAGGAACAACTCACACTTTAGATGCCAGCTAGGCCAGGCTGGAGAGGCACAGGTTCTTCCTCTAGTCGAGTCAGAGCGTCCAGGGTATGCCAGGGTCCAGGACTCGTCGTGGCAAGATGTGGAACGGGACGACATCCCTCCCGAGTGTCTGCAATGGCGGCCTTCAACCCTGGTCCCGTCGCTGCTGCCACCGCCGATGCTGCCGCTGTCGGCTGCCACCTCCGCCACCATCGCCGCCGACTCCTGCGCAGATCCAACCTACCGCCGACAAACTGCAGCTCCCAGTGCCCCCCTTAGCTCCCTTCTTCTCCTCCCTCCCCCCTCTTATCCCCTCTTACCATCCCTCCTTCCCGCCTCCCCAATCCTTCCCAGTCCTTGTACCTTTGTTGATCTTGTCGCCAAGTTTTATTCTAGCTCATTTTTAGGGATAATTGCGGAGAGATTCTGTCCCCCATCGTCAGTAACTGAGCGACGCTTCCGCCAGCTCGCTACTTCCTCACAGGGGCTACGACTTCAAGCCCTGCCGGTACTTTACGAGAGTTTGTTGGTTGGAAGAATCTAAAAAAATGTTTTCCACCGTCGTGAGTGAATGTTCTTTTTTTTTCCGTCTTCCTCTGTCCCTACAACGTGTGCGCAAACGTCTTTTCTCTTTTAATTTAAAAACGTAGCAAGTCTATTGATCGAGAGGGGATGACGCAGACGTAATACCAGCGTGGGGAGGGAGGAGAGTCAGCCGAGGCGAGGGGAGACACGGGGAGGAGTAGTGAGGAAGGGAGGGTGAGGAGGAGGAAAAGGGGGCCTTAATGTAAGGGAGGGGTAATGTAGGGGAAAGGGAAGATTTTAAGGGAGAGGGGATGGAATGTAAGCGTAAAGGGAGGGTAAACGCAGGAATGGATGGTAAATGTGGTAAGGGGGAGTCGGAAAGGGTAAAGCGTTTAGGGAAGAGAAGTAATATAAAAGAGGAGGGGAAGGAGAATAAAGAAGGGAAGAGAGAGTGGTGGAAACATAGTAGTGAAGGAAGAGCTGTGGGGATAGAGAAGTAGGTGAGAGACAGGGGAGAAAGAGGGAAAGAAGAGAACACATGGGAGGGGAAGAGTACAAATATGAGAGACGACAGTAAACTAGATGAAACAGAGAGAATTAGAATGGAACTAGAAGAGAGGGAGAGAGAAGTAGAATAGGGATAAACGTGGGATAAGAAGAGAAGGGTAAAGACACACGAGAAAGAGAGGAGTGTGGGAAATACAAGAGAGGAAAAATACAATAACAAATAAATGAGAGAGAAAATAATAAGAGATATATTTGGGGTTAACAGAGAAAAGGTAAAGAAAAGAAAGAAAGGAAAGGGTGAAAAAGGCAATAAAGACAATTAGAGGAATCAAGTAGATACATGAGGTGAGAATCACAGTAACGAGAGATAAAGAGGGGGCGTGAAGGCAGAGAATGAGATAAGAGAGAGAGAAGCAATATACTAGAGTAGTAGGGGAAGGAGGATTAGTGAGAGGAAGGAGGTGGACAACCAGGAAGAGGATTGTGGAGATTAGCAGCATGGAAGAGTTGAACTGGAGGGTAAGTGATTAGAGATTACACAATCATCAGGGAAAAAAGAGAATTAGAGAGAAGAAAATTGGAGTATAGAGGAGAGAGAGAGAGAGAGAGAGAGAGAGAGAGAGAGAGAGAGAGAGAGAGAGAGAGGTTAGGGTTACATAATAAAAGAAACATATTGGATATTAAGCCTTTTTTAACAGGAATAAATATATATAAGAAAATACAATATAGCATCCAAATTGATCTGAATATAAAGTATATATATAATGTGTGTGTGTGTGTGTGTGTGTGTGTTTCATAGAGCAAAATAAAATATGAAAGCAGAGATATCATGCATATCATACATAATGACAATATTGCACATATGAACAAAATACTTGTCATATAGACACACGTTCATGAAAGCATTCACAATGTTCCAAAAATTTTCCTGTCATCATTTTGACTATTGCATTTAAGTCTTCTAAATAAATAAATGCAATAAAGAACACGTGATAATAAAAAAGAATGAGAAAAATAATAATAAATGCTCCAACACAGTATTAATTAAATTCACCATGTCATCAATACTCTCACTCACTATAATTAGTTAAAAAAAATTCCCCGGTAACCAAATCCACAGTTCAGTTTTTATGTGCACCGCTTATTGTAAACATCTACCAACTGGACACAGCCAGCTATCACAGACATCTTCAAACACGAAACCAAACAAGCTTGCCTTAACAAAACATGTTAGTCCAGCGTCCGTCAGCTCTCACTCCACTCCTGACAAAATGTATCTAGCAGCTGTTACCTGATAAAATTCTATATGAGAAAATATAGAAACACAAAAAATGTTTATCTCTGTTCTTATCCCGCTGTGTCGTGGCGGCGGCAGCTGGCAGGGGAATGCGCATGCGCCGCTCCCCTCGCTTCCCGCTCCGCCAATCAGCGCCGCGCTTGGGGGATTGGTCGATACAGACGCGGCAACAGCTCGGTCCCAGTGCGCGCGCTAATTCAAATTAGCCCGTGGGTGGCGCCAAATTAAGCTAAACCAGTGCTATATTTTTTTGGCGGCTGACTTTAGGTAGGAAATGATGATCTGCATCTCAATGGAACAACAGCACAAGTTAGAAAAAGTAAATGTTTAATGTTTTTTTGTGTGTGGAAGCTCCTTGAGCGTCAACAAAATCATGCACAACCTCCCACTGAGCAAATACTTGCCTATGTAAATACACTTATCCAATTACAGAGTCAACAGGAATGCGACGTGACTGCGTAATTGTGAGGATAGAGTCGTCCATCAAGAGCAAAACTGTACGTGGTAACACTCCACTTACTTACACACAACACACCCATGAGCGTGTTAGAGGCCTCGTCCCTGGAGTCGTTGAGATAATCTCCTCTCCACTTGACCGCCGGGATTAAATTTCTTGGCGTGTGTGTCTGTCGCCGAGTCCTTGTGATCAATCCAGGAGGGCTGGTGGCGCTGCCCCACCACAGGTAGTGTTTTGGTCTCTGGCCCTTCACCAGACCAGATCACTCACCCTCCCTGTCACTCCCTCCGTCTCGAGACAGACAATGATCCACCTATGTTGACAGGAACTTGCCAGCTCCTCCCGCGTTCCAGGAATCTGCTTAGCTTCCGTGCAGGTCTTGTCGGGTCGGCAATAACGCCGCCGGGAACAAGTTGCTGAAACGCAGGACCCGACTTTCATCCTCCCTTTTCCTTCCAGAGCCTTCGAGTCGATGCCGAAGTTCTGCGGATTTATTTCCAAAATTATTTATTCCATCAATTTAACACCAAAACTCGATTTTTTCTCATAATATTTAAGATATTATTTTGTTCCTTGGTGTAAAATACTTCCAGCGAAGAAATACATTCATAGCGAGGATAAACAAGACAGAAGAAAGTTTACATTCATCGTACAGCTGGCAGGGGTCCAGGCGGCGCCGGGGTTAGGAGCAGTTATCGCCTAATCTTCCAGCACTCACTGTTTCCAGGCCCCGCTACCATCCTTAGTCAGGACATTGTAAAACTCACTTCGTGACTGCATGTCCCTCAACGCTGCCTCAAATCGCACTTTTTTTATTTTACTATCACCACCAAAACCAAGGACTACCTCATGTTTCCAGCATTTGAGGACTCTCTCTCTCTCTCTCTCTCTCTCTCTCTCTCTCTCTCTCTCTCTCTCTCGGTGCAGTCAGCAAAATATGAAGTCGAAGGGTAATTCCTCTTTCTTAATCGGAATAAGCGTTTAGGTAACGTAAGACCTCCTCACCTGGCCCTCTCTCTCTCTCTCTTGCACGCACACACACGGGGGTAGGGGAGGGGAGGAGGGGGTGGCACCTCGTAGCATGACACGCGACCTTGTACTGACCTTCACAGACTCTGCTTGATATTTCTTGCTCATATGATCTGACATAGACGTGGGTTTATCATCATCATCTCTCGGATAAGAGATAAAAAAATTACCATATCTATTTATTTTACAGTATTGTATTTCTTCAATCAATTGCAATTAAATGAGCTATTCCAACCTATGATAGTGATAAAGATCTTTGGATCTTAATTATATAACTGATATATCTCACCAGGAAAACAAAGTTAGGTAACAATATTATTATTTCCTTGTATAGTAAAAATTTCATATAATTCACAATAAAAATTAAAATCCTGTATTCTATCACTATAATGTATACTTGAGAGTTAACTGTCAGTTTTACTTATCAACCTGTGAGAGACGACGTGACCCGGATATTCGTACCTCAAATACTCCAGGTAAGGCTCCAGGTAAGGCTCCAGGTAAGGCTCCAGGTAAGGCTCCAGGTAAGATCTAAAACTTGGTAATTAGATCCTATCATGTGAAGACCAAAAACTCTAATTCTGGGTCGAAATTTACAAATGTTCGTACCGTAAAACTCAACTTTAACTACATATATCCACTTATCACCTCTTACGAGATAAAAAAAACGTTAAGTGAATAATCTTATCCAAAATTTCCTAAAGCTAATTTTTTTGTAATGTGAAGGTATGTAGTTAAGATAATCTCTATGTAATTTTTATATATATTTTTTTCTGTACTGTTGTTTAAATCTTCGTATTGATCTTTCAGAATATTAACTCCGGCTCTGACTAAAAGATTTGGAAGTTTGGACAGACTGTATTGAAGTTCTATTCACTGGTTTGACTATTTTGTATGAGAGTTTCAAACACAATCGACTATAATAAAAAAAATATACATAGTTGAGAACTTTCAAATATAAATAAGTATAAAAATTTTGTCTGTATAAAACTCAGATATATGAAGCTTTAACGTACTGTGTTTTATATACAGAGCTTTCATATAAACTGTATATAAGGAGTAGAGAAGATTTATATATATATAGAACTTTCAAATATATACAACTATATAATAAAACTTTTGGGGGGGGAGGTCGAGAGGCTTCATATAAAAAAAATATATAAGATAGGTTTCAGTGATTTCATATATATTTGGGGGTTTTTTCGTTGGTTGGGCGCCACGAGCAAAAAGTTTCGCTGTAACACAATATCAGAGACCAAACACCGCGGTAAAAAAAATCAAACTTTAGCCAGAGTCGGTCACTAAAACCACAAATATACACTAAACTCACTCGCCCACTGACAGT